AATTAACATTGGCCTATCGCTTGTACTAATAAAGTGCCAAGGGCCTAAGTGGTCACCTTAATATTAAAAAAAAATAATAATAATTATAATATGAATTAATGTTAAATTACTTTAATTAAACCTTTTTAAAAAGAGATATAAGTATAGATAATGATAGAATAAGTAATATAATTAGTTCAAATAGTGATTCAGAAACTTTTGAAAGTGACTCTGAAGTTGAAATTGCTGAAGGTTACAATATTATGTTCTTAGGGTACTTGAACAATACTATTAAGCAATTGGAAAAAGAAATCAGAAGTAATAAACATAGTGAAGTAATAAAGGCACATCTTTATACAATGCTGTCCTATTTTCGTCTTGTAGAGCATGATTATGAAAAGATTAAAGCAAGCATTATTGTAGCTGAAGCAGCTGGAAAAGGTGTTTATCATGCTTGTTGCATACGTGCATGGACAGTAAATTATGTTAAAAATGGTGAATTCCCAAGTTTAAGACAAGGAAAACATTCAAAAACTTGGAGTTTTCTATAGGACGATGATGTTTTAATCCAGATCAAGTCATTTCTTCGATCAAATAAGTAGAATATTAATCTAGATGAACTGGCAAAATATGTAAATAAAAAAATACTTCCAAGACTATGCTTTGATCTATCACCAACTATCTGTGTAAGAACAGCTAGAAAGTGGCTAAAAGTATTTGGATTTGAGTACTCAGAAGTTAGAAAAGGAATGTATATGGATAGGCATGAGCATGCAGATGTAGTGGCATATCATGAAAGGTTTTTGGAAAGAATGGCAGAATTTGAAGCATATATGATAGTTTTTTCTAGTGAAAATATGAAAGAAGAAACTAAACCAGATTTAATAATATTATCATTCTGGTAATACATAATGAGTATATTTTTTCAATGGAAGATATTGGTTATGGTTGCCAAAAGGGGAGCAGCCACTTTGCAAAAAAGACCAAGGATGGTTGATTCATATAAGTGAATTTCTTACTGATATTGGTAAGCATTTAGCATTATGTGATGAAGACAAGGTATATATACAATATCTTATTTATTTATTTATTTTTATAATTAAAAAGTCCTAATTGAGCTCTAATTGAAATCTTTTAGGTTGCTTTTCCTAACCTCCCATCAGAAGCATGTGTTGTAACTTATCCAGATAAAGATGGTGATGGATGATGGAACTCAGATGATTTCATAAATCAGGTGATAACCTGTGCAATCCCAATATTTAAAGCTTAGTTTCTAGATGCAAAGGCCCTTTTTGCATTTGATAATGCAACTAGTCATTGTGCATATGCCAAAGATGCACTTTTAGCAAAAAACATGAATTTATCTTCTGGTGAAAAACAGCCAAAAATGAGGTTTGTATATTATTATAAGCATTTTAAATATTTATACAATATACTATATTAACATTAAATATTCTTAAACAATAGAAGTACCACATATGGTGATAATATCTCACAAGACATGTGCTTTTCTGAAGATTATGAAGACTTTGATCTTTGTGATGAACCGAAGGGCCTAAAGCAAGTATTAAATGAGAGAAGATTGTGGTGTGATGGAATAAGATTAATATGTAAAGGAGGGTGTGAGCAAGAAAAAACTGATTGTTGCGCTAGAACGACAATAATAAACCAACCAGATTTTAGAGCACAATGTGGAAAAGTTAAAAAAGCGATTATTTTCGCAGGTCATGAGGTTATTTTTTATTCAAAATTTCATTGTGAGTTAAATTATATAGAAAATTTTTGGAGTTAGCAAAGCGACATGCACACAATCACTGTGACTATACATGTCAAGGTTTGAAGAAAACCATGCCACAAGCCTTTGAATCGGTACCTCTCACTGAAATTAGACGATATGCTCGAAAGTCTTTTAGATATATGGATATGTACCGCAAAGGTTTAACAGAAAAACCTGCAGAATATACCATAAAAAAATATCATCACATTACTGTGTACCAGATATAATTTTAAATGAAATTGATGCATTGGACAATTAACAGATAGATAACAGCTTTATTTTTGCAATACTTGGTTTTTTTTATTATATTTCTATCTTTTGCCTTTTAATAAACTAAGTTTATATTTAGATATATTTATCATATATCAATATTATTGGAATTGGGGTTAAAAAGAAAAATATCAAATATTCACAGTTGTTATTGGGAATTGGAGTCAAATTTAATGAATACAAAATATTCATTATTAAATTTGTAGTATGTTGAGATTAAAATTTTATCAATATAAGTGCATTATTTCAAATAAAAATAAATTTATAACCGTGGTTAGCATTGTTATCAGTTTTTATATTCAAAATATTTTTTAAATTAACCTTCTATACGTATATATATTGAGTGTTATTTATAACAATCACGATTGCAAAAATTAATTATAGAGGATTAATCATAGAGATTACTTATACAATAAAGCATCATACATATTATATATCATGTATTATATTCGATGTATGCGGATTTTATTTCTGTTAAATTTTTATAACTTTTCCAATATAAAACATATCAGACACAGAACATGTCCCCCTACAGGGGTTCAAAATGTTGTCATATATAAATCAAATGAGTTGACTCACCCAAATTTATATGTAAAATTTGACAAAAAAAACATTTTTCTTTAATTTACTCAAGAAAGTAAATATAAAAAATAATTTTAAATATGGGACTTA